CCAATGAGCTGGTTAACTCTGAATGGGCTGGTAGATAATAATAGCTTAGCATTTTGGACTGGCTACTGATGCAGCCAATCACGTCAAGTGCAGTCCATGCCACTCTGATTGACACGCCTCAAACTGGCTGAGAAAACCCTTCTGTGAATAAAATATGATACGGAAAATTACACAAATTTAATTCTATAACGTGTTGGAACAATGAGGTTCAATGCAGGAAAGTCATGTCTACATCTTTCCATACATGCCAAACAAAGTGTTTGTTGGAATGGCATTCATTCAGCCAAGACTCAAATACTCATGAACTTGGAGACTCTTTATTTGGGCCCTGTTTTTTTAATCATTCATTGTATTGAAAGTGGCTAAATACAGTAGCACCCTCATAAAACTATTGGTTATGTTGAAAATATTGAAAATGGTAATGTTGACTTGCTCTCTGGGGAGGCAAAAACATACATTTTTCTTATCAAATTTATGAAATAAAGTTGCAATTTATAGCTCGAATACACACTGATACAAAATTAACCATTCATGCTCTCTTCCCCTTCCAGACCAACAGAAATGAAAGTCTATATAGTTCTTCTATAAATACTTACGGATGAACCGTATGCATCATGGGCATATGTAGAAATACTATGTGTAAAATGCTGACAGGTAGAAGTACATATTGTTGCATATTTTTAAAGTTTTATTTTTGGGCTATTTATGCCTTTATTTAGAGATAGAGTCAGTTGATAGAATCAGTCATCAGGGAAAGAGAGAGAGAGAGAGAGAGAGAGAGAGGAATGACATGCAGGAAAGGAGCCTCTGGTCAGATTTGAACCAAGTATCCTCCATACATGGGGTGCACACTAACCACTAGGCTACCGGCATCCCATTGGTGTGAATTTTAGTGTAAAATGTTGGAATGGTGAACACAGACAACTTGTGTTTAAATGGATTTCAGTTTCGGAGAAACAAAGGTTTTCAAGTAGAAGCTGGAGAAGTGACAGATTTCTTCAGGACACAGGACACACAATCCTGAAGCTTTAACTTCTGTCTGTACATTGATGGTGCCTTTAATGTGTGGTATATCATTTGAGTCAGTTTTAATTTGGTGCAACGTCTACACTTAATATGAGCCAACACACAGAATGAAAAAATAAATTACATTTCTTATACAATCTTAAATCAAGGTGATGCTAATCTCACAATCTGTCACTCTCACTTTTGATGTTAAGTAACATGATTTTAAGACAGGGAAAGAGAGTCCAAATGAAGGATGTAAAATATTGGAATAGGAGGGAAATATAGAAATGGTTTTGCATATTTTGGGATGTTGCCTTTTACAGCACCAAAAACAGCATTTTTAAAAAATTCACTGTACATCTCACTTTTCACAATTAGGATCTAATCATTTATGGGCTGCAACTCCAAAGCTATTTTTCCTCTCATGGTTCCGTTTTCAAACTTTTAGATGGGCTGTTATCAGATCTCAGAGATTAATTCGCCCCTTGGATGTACAGCGTCTGGCGTGGAAAATCAAACCAGCATCTGAAGGCTCGCTGGAGGGACACGGCTGCCCTGATGTCGCTGCGGCACATCAGTCGCAATACTAATTGGATGTTTGGACTATTTTAGAAAGGTCCACTGAACCCATGGCCAGCCCTTTTTTAGAGAGTGGTTGATAAATAATTAAATCGACACAGATAGAGTGGAAGAATATTTAACTGCTACCCCCATTTAAAGGCTTAGCTTTACTAACCATCAGCTCAATAATCTCTTAATTTAAACATTCCCCTCAATCTCCAAGGCTTAGAGGAAGCAGCATCTGCTGAACACACATGCACACACACACACACACACACACGGTCTGCTGGAGAAGATCTTTACAAAAATCCAACCTGAGACATGTTGACATCTGTTTCACTAATGACTTTCATTCAACGCCCATTAAGTCGATGACTGCTTCGTGAACCAGCAGATTTGTGTCGCTAAACTGTTTTATCACTGCCTCTGTTTATACCACAGATATCTAAATGATCACATACTTTGCTATAAGTCCCCTGGCCTACATTAAGTCCTCATAAATCTATGTATGTTTGTCATTTATAGATCTTATCATGAAATCAATGACAGGGCTCTCTGGGGATTTGTAAGAGATAGAGCATAATCTCGCCATAGACTCCCAATAGGAAAATGAAAGCCTGCTGCTGTATTTCCTCTTATTCCTTATGATACACATCAACAGAAGCATTAAAAATCCCTGCCTTATGAATAATCAGCAACATCAGCAAGGAAGCACATCATGTGTGAATGAAGCAGTGATTCAGGGGCATGTTTTCAACATGAAGGCTCCACAAAGCAGGGAGAGTTAAGAGGCTGACCTGATAGCAAAATGACGCCAAACAGCTGCTTTATTGACTGCCAGATCCAAACCAGCACAACCTTGCTCCCCCTCCTAGCTTTATATCGTAATCTCCCTTAGAGTTCATCACTTAAATCACCTTAAGAAGAAAATCCTATAGGTGGCTCGATGCACCTTTTTTATTTTTATTTTCTATGCGTGTAAACCTTGCATCCCCTCTCTCAGCTCCCTGATTTTGGCTCCAGGCCGACCTCCGCAGCAGTCCCAGCTCTGTGAGGGAATATGAATGGCATTAGCTCGGGGGCTGTTGCCATGGTGTTGACTTATTTACTGTACATCAGCCCACTGACTTCAAACAGTGCCGAGCACGTTTTGGCTGCCATATTGGCGTCAGCCTTATCATCCAAAGGACACATTTCCACAGGGTGATTTCAAAAAATGTAACTGTGACAGCTTATAAACAACAAAAAAAGTTTGGGGCAAATGGGGAAAAAAAATGTCAAGGAGGCTGGAGACCCACTGGACAATAGGGTAATGTGTACTATTTGTTCTTAACACAAAAATAAAAACAGTTTTCTATCATGTTGGACTCAATAAAAACATGTGCATAGTTTTTTATTCGAAAGGAAACAAGGCTTTTTTAAAACAAGAAAAAGAACAATTTAAATTACATTTTCATATTTGTTCCTTCTTCATGAATAACAAAAAGCACCTCCGAGTTCAACAGCAGTTTTCATGTTGTCTTTGGCAGCATCTGGCCTCACACTGATATAACGCTACATCTTAGAAATGTCAGTGACATTTAAATTGCACAAAATCAAAAAAACAGTAGAATTGAAGGCAGTGATTAATGCAGTCTAGACTGAAATACTACAATGTTTTTTAATCTTTTACAAGGTCGGCTGGTTTTGTAACATTAATTTAAATGCTAGGGATATTGTGGGCTTTTGCAGGATAACATGAATAGAGGTGTGTGTGTGTGTGTGGTTTGGTCACTGTTTTGTTACATCACCAAGGAATGACAAATTGTATTCTGATACTATACAACCTGCTTCCCAATGCTATAACACATTTTTAATAAAAAATGCTTTTATGGACCCAAGACTTACATTTTAACTGTGCTTGATGAAATGTAGATTTTCGTAAGCTTCTGTGTGTGCAGTGAAGTGAAATCTGTTTTAAGAGAAATCTGGAAGCATATTCCAGGCTTCCAGTAACATAAGTGTGACAGTTTTTTGCATGGATGGGTAAGCTTTGCCTGCCAAACTGTCCTTTGCAGTCACTTCATGAAAAGTTACGCAACGAAAAGAAAAGCTCTTATCTCGTCTTTTGGCCTGTGAATTATGAGTTATATAAATATATAGTCATTATAATGACGGCATTATAGAGGACAATACTAATACTTTTCATTTTTAGACATAAATGCCTAAAAATATTTTTGAAGGTTTCCAGAGACTAAGATATATCGACTTTAGGTCAAGCTAAAAGAGATTACAGATTTGTTCAGCATAATGCATGACCTAATGACCTTAAAATGTGTTTGCAGGGCTGTGTCATCATTTGCTCTGGAAAAACATAATACCAGCTCTGCTTGTCACATCATGCACAAAAACAGACATACATGTTTTGATATGAATAAATACGCATAAAGGGATTTTATGAACAAACGAATGATTTAATTATTATTTTTTTTTACAACTTACACGACAAATGATTGAATAAATTATCTTATGTACTTGATCATTTGACGTATGCTCCTTGTTTCTTCAGTTATACAATTTCAGTGGTTTAAAAAGAGGCACTAAGCATTGCGTATAAGAAGGATTTTGAACTTAAATGATAAAGCACCCAATGGGATTTAATACAGTGATGTACATCCACACTTACACAGAGGTATTAAAAAGATGATGATTTTCTCTCTGGTTCTATTATAAAATATAATAAAAATGCCATCCCACTTCTGTAAAAATGGATTTGCTAATATTATCAGAGCTTAGATTATTTCAACAGAAAACAAACTATTACAGGCTATCTCTTGTGCAGATGTATAAACATGCCCCAAAGGAGGCTGTTTCTCTTTATTCTACTCGGCTTATGGATTTCAAGTAAATAATCAGTCATCTCTGCTAAATTAATAATTGCATTTTGGGCTTTGTGGGGGCTGGCAACTGCAAGAGCGGAACATTAAGTTAAATGGTTAGATTTAGGGGCTGAATTATGGGCTTTGAAGTTAAGTTAATCAAATCCTTTGTAAGAAGCTAAATGAGAAATTGTTACATCAGAAACTTTGTAACAAGGCTTTTAAGATAAAAAGACATCTCACATCATTCAATATAATAGCTATGAAGGAAGCGGAGGAGGAGTAAAGAGTAAAATATCAGATAAGCGTACACTGACTGGATTTTTTTTTATAGGCAGTAGGTGGCGGTGTAGAGCTAAAATGACACACCAGCAGCAGCAGCAGCACTGAACGGAAAAGGAAGCAGATGAAAACTGAAGAAGAAGAAGAAGACGTCAACACGTGTATCCGACATGTCTGCCTCCCGTGTTGACGAACCTTGAAACATCGTTAAACACTAGTTTTAAAAGGCTTTTTTTCTCTCCCGGAAACCTGTACAGTGAAGTTCATCGAGCGCAGGCTAAAAGCTTCAGGATGGCACAAAGGAAGAAAAAGTTTACGAAGAGGAAGAGACACACACCTAACAGAGAGCCGGAGGCTGACTCTGACTGTGGAGACTTTGAGCTGGCTGCTGAAGTTAAAGACGATGAATCTGTAAGTAACAGTATGTTAAAAAAAACACATTATTTATTGACAAAACGGTGTTTAAATTGATTTCGATGAAGCCTGCCAGCTGCTTTATACTATAGGGTTTTTCCCGGATTATATACGCAGATGGGGGTATAGCTCAGTGGTAGAGCATTTGACTGCAGATCAAGAGGTCCCCGGTTCAAATCCGGATGCCCCCTTAAATCTTTACTCACGAAAGATACATTTCATAGGTTTTAAAATGAGAAAAGTGTGGTATACATTCATATGGACGACGGTAGTTTTGCTCTAATCTCTTGTCATCTTCATGTGTCGCCTGACTTCATCATTATCCCGTGTTGTGTTGTTACACTGTGTCGCTCTGTGTTACCTCTGTTGCTCTGATGTTGCTTGACTTTGTCGTTATGATAAACATTAGTTTAGATTATTTGTCAAATTACTTTTGGAAGGTGCATTTGCTCAACTTTTTTTTTGGACACATCATCTAATAAATTAGTCTATGTCGCATGGATTGGTGGATTATTTCTATTTTGTATATTTTTCTGTATTGAACAACCTGTTGTCGTTTTTTTTTTTTTCTGATTTGACTCACAGCAAGGGAGGAAGCTACCGAGGTTCCCCGCCTCCGCAGACTGCCTGTCAGATGTGGAGCCGGACACCAGGCAGCTGGTCAGGGCTCAAAACAAGAAGAAGAAGAAGTCTGGAGGCTTTCAGTCCATGGGTACGACCTAATGTAGAGCATACAGAGGGACTGAGTGTCATTGTTTACATTTATTTATTCATAGATTGAGCTGAAGAAACTCTTAAGTTGAATTGTGATTCATTTGTTTTCCTCCGAATATTGCTTAAACATATTTTGTTTGCATTTAGGTCTCAGTTACCCTGTTTATAAAGGAGTCATGAAGAAAGGTTATAAAGTCCCAACTCCGATCCAAAGAAAGGTAGGTCAGGATCCTTGAATCGAAACATTTTTCATCTTTGACAGCAGACTGCTTCAGTCCAAATTCTTCTCTCCACCTTTTTAGACTGTCCCTGTGATTCTGGACGGCAAAGACATAGTAGCCATGGCGAGGACTGGCAGTGGTAAGACTGCTGCCTTCCTGGTGCCAATGTTTGAGAAGCTGAAGGCCCCTCAAGCATCAGGAGCAAGGGCCCTCATCCTGACCCCCACCAGAGAGCTGGCGCTGCAGACCATGAAGTTCACAAAAGAGGTCAGATGGACAAAGTGTTTACTGTCGTTTAGGTGGTCAAGTTAGCTGAAATAATATGTTTCTGTACTTTCTGTCATTATGAAGTTTATCTTCAGTTTATCTCCAGTGAAAATGTTATAAGTGATTATTAAAGTGCTTTCACTGTGGTCTTTATAGTTGGGGAAATTCACCGGCCTAAAGACCGCCTTGATCCTCGGTGGAGACAGGTGTGTGGCTTTTAATTATTTCTGTTCAGTACGTGTTCTGATGTACTCTGTGGTCCATACGCTTGTCCTTTCAATGTCTTAAATAATGTAAAATGTGTCTGCTGTTTCCAGAATGGACGATCAGTTTGCTGCTCTTCATGAAAACCCGGACATGTAAGTGTTTCTGCTTAAGTATAAACTGGTATTCCCATCCCTTCTCACTACGTCCTAATCCTGATCTCTCTCTCTCTCCGCCTCCCCCTTAGAATCATCGGTACGCCCGGTCGCCTCATGCACGTCATCCAAGAGATGAACCTGAAGCTGTACGGCGTGGAGTACGTGGTGTTTGACGAGGCTGACAGGTGAGAGAGGTGGTCCTGTTTTCATTTCACAGCTCTGATTCCCGCGGACGAGTGGATGCGTGAATGTGTCTGCTGTCTCCTTCCGCTCAGGTTGTTTGAGATGGGTTTTGCTGAGCAGCTTCAGGAGATCATCCGCAGGCTCCCGGACAACAGACAGACGCTACTGTTCTCCGCCACTCTGCCCAAACTGCTGGTGGAGTTTGCCAGAGCCGGTAAGCTCAATAATCACTTGTGTTTTACATCCATCCATTATGACTGAAGATGTTTATCAAGATCATTATCTTAATTGTAATCTCCACAATATGCATAACAATAGCTTGCTGATTAAGACTCAACTTAATTCCATACGTTTTGTTTATGTCCAGGGTTGACTGAACCAGTGTTGATCCGTTTGGATGTGGACTCGAAGCTCAGCGACCAAATTAAGGTGAAGAGAGGACACTTTTTTTATTCAACACAACAATAGGTTTTTATACTTAGAATGATTTCTACCTGAAACAAGGTCTGTTTAATCAGACTCTTTAACAGCATCACCACCTCTTGCTACACACTGTGTGTGTTTTTTAAGAACAATAACCCTTTCCTGTGTAGTTACTGTGTAATTTTACATTATTTTATTTAATTTTATTAATTTTTTTTATTTAACTGATGTAAATATGTTTGATTTGATTTAACTTCTATTTTTATTTTTAATAATTATATTCCCGTCCCCTGTTTTCTGGAGCTGCTGTAATGCACAAATTTCCCCCCCGGGGGATCAATAAAGTTTATCTTTATCTTTATCTTTAAAGTGGACCACATCAATCTTTGGGACACTCTGTCATAAATGCATTCTATCTGAAGATTCTAAAAGTGTCCTGTCTATCAAATACAGCCGAGCCAGAGTCCATTGAGAAAAGTTGTTTGCTTGTTGTGTCAGGGACAGATTAGATAAGTCACAAAGTCTATGTTACGGTCGACATTTTTATGTAGTTATCTCTACATATAAATCTGTTTTTGATAGGATAATAAATCCAAATCTGCTGAGTAACTTGCTGGAGACGGTTTAAGTTTATGGATTTGGACTCACCTATTTTTGAAAACTTGCTGGAGAGCGATGGAGAGGTTTTCCCACTTTTAAGGTCACACTCACACTAGACCCAAGTTGCCCCGTACTGTGCCGAGGCAGGATCGTCCCCCTCCCTTCTGTCGAAATGCTTCCAAATATTTGTCTCCTGTCTTCCCTCAGCTGTCATTGTTCCATTTGCGTGTGGATGACAAACCTGCTCTGCTGCTTCATCTGCTGAGGAACGTTGTGAAACCTCAGGAGCAGACCGTGGTTTTTGTCGCAACAAAACACCACGTGGAGTACCTCAAAGAGGTGAGATGGCAAAGTCATTCATTCTTTGATTGAACACAGTACCTATGTTTAATGTTTTTTTTTTTTTTTTTTTTCACTTGTATTTCTTTTCTGTTACTTTCCAGCTGCTGACTTTAGAAGGCTTGGAGTGCGCCTACATCTACAGCGCCCTCGATCAGACCGCCAGGAAGATCAACATCGGGAAGTTTGTACATCGCAAAGCCATGGTGCTTATTGTGACTGATGTCGCCGCTCGTGGTATAGACATCCCCATGCTGGACAATGTCATCAACTACAACTTCCCCTCCAAACCCAAGCTGTTCTTGCACAGAGTCGGTAAGTGGCTTGACTGACTGAATTACGAGCTCAGTTTGGCCCTAATAAAAGATTTGGAAGCAGTGATGATGATGAGGATTATTGGTGATCGGTCATCACCTGTCTTTTTCCCATCAGGCCGTGTGGGACGTGCTGGGCGCAGTGGAACAACCTACAGTATGATATGTCAAGATGAGATGCCTTTAGTCTACGACCTTCACCTCTTCCTCGGAAGGCCTGTGCAGTTTGCCACGCATGAACAACAAGGTAGGCTCGGCTGTTTTCCTTTGTATACGTCTGCGCTCCTGGAGCCGCTAGTTGTCACAGTTTTTCTCTCCTCTCCGCTCCTCTCCTCCAGATGCAGATGGCGTGTTTGGTCGGGTCCCTCAGAGCATCCTGGACGATGAAAGTTCCCATCTGATCACGGCTCACGAGAACTCCCTGGACCTGCAGAACCTGTACCGGGTGTCTGAGAATGCCTACAAGCAGTACCTCAAGTCTCGTCCTAACCCCTCAGCAGAGTCCATCAGGCGCGTCAAAACCACAGATATGTCCAGCATGGCGGTTCATCCAATACTAGGTCAGTGTGACGGGGGGGTTGAACTATGAAAAGAAAAGGGATATTTAGTCGTCGTGCGACAGAGAACAGTTGACCCGTGATTCTTTTGAATCCATCCGACAGTCTGGACCGCATGTGATCCGGCAAGATGGAGAATTAGTCTTCCTAGTGTACACTGAATGTAATGCTGTTAAATCTCTGTGCAGGGTGACAGAGAAAAGAAGGCAGTGCTTCAGAGGTGCATGTAGGGAGGCGCCATGGAGATCCACTTTACAAACAGGAAGATAATTCAGTCGTTTAAAGAGTATTTGAACGTAGGTCCGTAAAGTGTTGATATTCAGGGTGTATAATTACTTAGTTTCAAACGGTGCTTCGACTTCCCTCTTCTCACTCTCACCCTGTCTGCATTTATCATCCAAGCATTAGCTTGTTGCTGCGTTGGACAACAACGTTGTTCACAGCCTGCTTTAGCCTGTAGCTGTTATACATGTTTATATAGTTCAGTCAAAAAAAAACTGATTATGCTGTCCCTCAACGGACGCTCTCGGTCTGGTGTTTAGTCTCGCTCAGCACGGCCTCAAGGAGCAGCCTGTACAAAGACACACATCCACTAAATGAATGGTGTGTGTAGGTATTCAACATTGTCAAAGCTCAAAGAGATCAAAACGTCTGTAGATTAGAGCAGACTTGATTTTTTTTTTAAAGCTGGATTTTGGTTTTGTGTTTGTTATGTTGATGTCTTCTGTATGGAGTAACAGTTCTGTTCTTTAAAAGTATGCAGCGTTCTGCATCTGTGAATTGCGACACTCTTCTTTGTAAACAGTGTTTGAATCTTAATGTTTCAGGGTCAGGTTTGGAGAAAATGGAACTGGAACGCCTTCAAATAGTTGATGCCATCAAAGGCTACAAATCCAAATCGGTGAGTAAAAGTAAAGGACACACTGTATGGATTTATTGAAGCTGCAATTCCATGTGTCTACAATAATGTTTTTTCTTTAATAATCTTGTAGACAATTTTTGAAATCAACTCTAACAGCAAGACACAAGCTAGTGAGGTGATGAGAGCCAAGCGCTCCAGGGACACGCGGCTGGTGGTCAAATTCAGCAAACGGAAAGACGACCTGGCAGAAGAAAGCAGACTGAAGGCACCAGTCAACCCGTCCACAGCAGACGACGATTTCTCACAGTTAACAGACGAAGAAGAGGACGTTCTACAGGTAAGACATTCTCGTGCTTCTGCGGTTTTATGATACGGAATCAAATATCAGCTGCATGTTTTTACCCCCAGAGATTTCCATGTAGAGCGCTGAGAATAAGATACCAGATACAGAGCTTTTTCATTTTTCATTTTTTTTTTTTTAACCAAGAGTTTTTTGAACTTCTTTTTCATTTAGGCAAACAACTTGAAGTTAAACAAAGACAACATAATGATTATTCATGTGAAAAGACATTACTTCTGATAATGTTCTCAATAACTCAATTTACTAAAATGTTTGAATTTGGGGGAAAATTTAACAAAATCATAATTTCCTTAATCCAAGCTATATGACTTATATGACTACATGTCATATGACTCCATTTGATCTTTTTTTTTTTTCTAATAAAGCAAAATTGCCTGACTTAGAAACCACAACATTTATTTTATTATTATTATTTTATCCAAATAGTTAACCTGATTTTCTGTTAATCAGGTGAAATAAATAATTGGGTTAAATGCAAATACTTGATTTTTTTTTGCATTATCTTAAATATTGCTGCGATCCTTCTTCTGTACACAGCAGGTTTCACACCATCCTATAGTAGATGTGGTTTTAAACATGCAGTTCTTTATGTTTCCACCAGGGGGTGTTCTCTGAAGTTGTAGGTCGAAAAAAAAGAGGCCCACAGGAAGCTGGGGAAGAGCAGCCGAGGAACAAGAGAAGCAACAGGAAGGCAAAGACGAGGAGTATTACATCCCATACAGACCCAAAGACTTCAACTCTGAAAGAGGGTGAGCATGAAGCATGACATCCTTTTCTATAGTCGAGAAGAAGGAACCACGTCAGAGTTAAAAACATACAATGTGCCTATCTTTCTGACCCGTTGCACTCTGTGTGTGATTGTAGGTTAAGTCTCGGTGGGGAGGGCACTGCCTTCGAACAGCAGGCCTCCTCTGCTGTCCTGGACCTCATGGGAGACGAAGGAGCGAAGCTGAACCAGCACAAGAAAATAATGAAATGGTGAATAGTTGACATCCACTCGAAGTCTGCCTCTCTCTTCTTCATGACACATTAAGCTTCTGATTCTGCTACTACAAAGCATTAATTGTTCTTTTTCTGTCTTAAGGGACCGTAAGAAGAAGCGCTTTGTTACAGAAACAGGAAAGGCGGACGAGAAGAAGAAGATCAGAACAGATGGTGGTCAGGTCATCTATAACAAGAAGAACAGAAAGAACTTGTATCCTTTCCAGAAAAATCTGTCTTTTGTCATTTTGAACGAGACCTGTTGTAGGTGATATGAAGCTGTGATATTCAGATGTTGTCTCACTTAACACGCGTGTCAGCTATGAGGAGTGGAAGAAAAGATACAAAGTGGACGACGGAGGATCAGGCTCAGACGGAGAGACAGGAGGAGGGAGGAGGCCGGGAGGAGGTAAAGGAGCAATTTCTTTTTTTAAAAGATATTTTGGAGCACAAACACAAAGGTTTAAGGACTATTTGGGCAGAGAGAACACTTTTTTTTTTTTTACATTTGAAGTGAACATTTTCCTGTGAAATGAATGCACCATTACTAACACACTTAATCTTTATTGAAACCAATGAGTGAAAACATGAGTACGCCATTTAACATGCAGCTATATATTGAAAATAGAGCTAAGACTTCTCGTAAAACATGAGTCTTTTTTAATATGTAAAGCTTGTTAATGACTTCATTTAGCTTGTGAGTGTTGAGCTTGCGTTTTGTTTCCACTTTCAAACGGCAAGGCGAGCTCTACCCCGTTTCTAGTCTTGATGTTTTAAGCAAACTTGAGTTTATCTGAAGGATACGTCCTCACATCAGATCAGTAATAAGTATATGAAAAAGTGATTTTCTACATTACAAGTCTGTAATTCCAAATGTCAAACAAGTCATTCTCTGTGATGTCCATCTCCCAGGTCGAGGCCGAGGACGGGGCGGAAGTCGTGGTGGAGGTGGAGGTCGTGGTCGTGGTCGGCCAGGTGCGTACTCCCAGAATCCTAACTTCCAGAGGGCTGCAGGGCCGCAGCAGACGCCAGGCGGACGCAGAGTGCGCTCAGAGCTGAAGACACACGAGCAGATCCTGAAGCAGCGCAAGAAAGAGCAGAAGCACAAGTTCCTGCAGAGCGGAGGATTAAAGAATCTCCGGAACAAGAACAGACAGTGGCTCGGAGAAGTGAAGAAGTCAGGGTTTGGCCGAGGGGGTCAAAAAAAGGGTAAGATGAGGAAGAAACTGTGAGGAGGATAAAGACTTGCTCTGATCTTTCTGAACCACCTTACATAGACCCATTTTTTCATGATTGTGGATGAAAGGAGACGATGATTTCATAAAGAGGCTGTAAAGATGAACTTCCCCCTCAAGCATCATGACCTACGGGACTCTTAACTTTGATAAGAGATGTATACTTATGTTTGCTTTCTTTAAGTGCTGACTGATAAATGTTGAACTTATTATTTCAAAATACAGATACAGATTAAACACCATTGTGTGTTGTCATTATTTTAACACAACAGATGCTTTGTTTATGATATGAACTTTGACACATTTCTTCTGCGGTTTGCAACATGTACATTTCATCTTCAGTTTAAAACCAAATTAAACATCATTAACAGTAGAGGTGGGAATCGCAGGCTAGCTCACAATACAATACGAGATACAGTATGAGGCTGATGATGATATCAGGAAAAAGGGATTCTGCAATATTTAATATATTGTATTGATACACTGAAAGAAAGTCGTATAGTGATGCATCATGATATCTGATCTGATTAACTGAAGAGTATAGATGTTAAAGGTAAAGTGCAGTCTTAATGTATCGATTCACTGCAAATTCCCAGTTTCACCTCTTGTCATGTTTCATCCTTTTACTTTAAACCACTTTCCAACATCATGCCGTCTTCTTCTATCCCACTGTCAGCTTCTTTGGCCAATCTACTTCCCTTCATGTTACCCTAATAATGATGTCATAAGCCCCTGAGGAGTCATGACGTGCTGACGAGTCAAATTGCCAGGGGAATCTTTTTGGAGCTCCATATTAAAAAAAAAAAAAAAAAAAAATATGTATGTATTTGGCACAAGTGATTCAATACTTGTATCACACAAGTGAGGAGGAGCATAATGCTATATCGATATTTTCTTCCAAATTACTTCATAGAAGCTACGGGAATTAATATACAAATATAAATAGTTCTTTAGTTTGTGTTAGAACATTTAAAGAGACTTTTGAAAAATACGACATTTCCTCATTTTAGTTTCCAACATGGTCAAGCGCTCAAAATGCATATCCTACATTTCCCATAAAGCACCACCCAACCAAACTGTTAGGCAGTGTTCTCTCTTCCTGATAAACACTCACATTCATCAAACTGTCTCACTGTGTGATGAAGGCTTTTGGCTATAAATGTGAGTTTCATCTAACTAGTGCAACATCTGGATTATTGCAATTGTGTGTGAGGTTTGTCTTTTTCTACTTAATGTAGTTTAAAACAGTACAGAATATACATAAGGTGCAAGGCTGCACTCTTTTGGTGGAAAACTAGTACTGCAAGTGTAACAGATTTATTTCCAAGATGTCTGTGTTCTACAGCAGCACAACACCCAACACCACTAGCGGTCGCTTCCAGACAAATGAAAAGGGGAAAGGTAAAGAGATGTAAGATTTAGTTCCAAGCTGGTCATGAATTACCTTGAAATAAATACTGATGCCTCTTTTTGACCTACACAAGCAAACAAGACCTTCAGCATATTGATGATTTACATGTAACTATTTTGAATGCCTGACACGACTGTCAGGGAGTAAGTGTCCGATGAGATCAACAGCATGATGCTGAAACTGACTTTTTCTTATGTCATTTTCAGCTGCAGAGATTTATGGTAAACAATACATTCCATTATTAGAAGACAGAAGGATGAGATTCTTTTTCTCATTAAACTCCAGTTACTCATGTACACGGCAAGATCAGCATACATGAGAAGTAACACTTTGTCCACAGGGGGGAGCCAAACTGATACAAACCAGAAGTTCCACACATGGAGCTTTAAATCATTTTTAGGATGTCTTCTAGGTCATATTTCCTACATTTTCACCAGAATAAAATACTTGTGACTTGATTAAAGGTAAGATATAAGTTGTGATAGTTCAACTTTTAAAAGTAAAATGTATTTAGGAAAATATTCATCAACCATACTGTAAAAAATGTCTGTCAGTTGTAGAGGACTGGTAGCCTCACATCTGAGAAGTATCACTTCCAACTGTTTTTTTCCTGGCCACATGTCGAATGATCATGTAATTTATTTCCTGCAGAAGATACTGCAGTCAGTCATCTGGTGAGGGAGCACTCCCTCATTTCTTCAGCTGCTGGAAAGGTGCAAAACATGACCACATGCACAGCGGCCCGGGAGGAAAGAGCAGCGATGCACCAATGGAAGCGAGGGAGACCGTCCATCTGGATGTGGTTACACTGTGAGCTGTTTGTTGATGATATGTGTACATGTTATTGTAGGTTATTCATGGCTGGAGTCACAAGTGGACTTAAGCTCCTCTATGATGATTTGTGCCTTTCAGTTGTCAGTGTGAGCGCGGCTCAGGATGGAGGAAGATATAGGTGGTACCAGGGTTTGTATTTGGCATAAACACAGACGAGTCACCATGGAGATAGTCACTGGACACACACCAGAGCACTGTCATATATCTGGGAAAAATAGCATCAATTTATAAAACAGGAGCTACACTGTCTAAGGGATAAAGTACAGTTTCAGTTTGCTGTGCAGCTTATTACAAATAAATATTTCCTTAAATAACTAAAAAATAAATCCAATCTATAGTTAATTTTTTACGTGTCGTATAAATCATATATTTGCACAACTGTTTGCTACTCATTGTTGCAATAATTGAAATGTTACATAGAGAGAAAGTAAAACTTCAAATTATGACGAAGAAAACCAATAACTACATGTTTTAAATAACATTAATGACATAACCATGATAAAAAATAAACACGCACACTGGTAAAGAAAAATACATACCTACAGTGCCTACAGTAAATTACGCTTGTTTTTAGATACTGTAGTTTTAAAATGCTTCACAAGTATGTTAGATTTGGTATTTGCTTAAAGCAGCCTACTGTTTATACATCATGCATTTAATATGGGAGAGAGCACATTCAAATGTACAGAAAAAAAGGGTTCAATGTTAAATATGTTAGTGTGCTTAAAGAATCCATCATTTGGCATCTTGACCTCATAATGAGGCTAATTTGTATTTTCTTTCGGGAATGATTATCCCACTTATAGTGAGGCTGAAAGAGATTCATGATATTGCTATTGATATGATATTGAATTTGGCATCTTTTTTCAAATCTCTTTAGTCATTATGCCTTTATTTGAGAAACAGGACAGTCGATAGAGTCAGCAGAATCTGGCAGAGAGAAGAGAGGGGAATGATCTGCATCTCGTCGTCAGCGTATGTGTGGGTTTGTGAGGCTTCTATAACGACAAACTGTTGATACACACACCTGAGGAATACCTAAATCAGCTACTAAAGTTGTTTGTAGGGAATTGCTTCCAGATAGGATGTCCGTACTGTCTTCCCTGCCACTATTAGGGGCCAGAACAAACTGGAGTGAAGGAGGTTACATTGATATCAGTTAATCCTCATGAAGAGATACTGAGCTACAGTCTGCCTTTACCTTTTCACCCCCCCCCCCTCCTCTTCCCTCTGATGGCCCCTCTCCCTGTCCCAGTGCTCTTCAGAGCTCCAGCAGCTCTCTAGTCATCAGGAACGGCAGCTTTATCTTTGTTTAGAGTTCCCAGGACGGACACAGCATCCACTTGAGATACGCTGAAGAGCCTGAGCATCAGAGGACAGCTGCTTCTATAACAGAGGATTTAAATGTTAAGCAGAATTAACTGGAGGACTGAGCTGTAGAGTACAGAGTTTTACATTGTTTGAAGTATAACAGGTCTAAAATTAAAATATTTGAACAAGACTTTAAAAAAAAAATGTAACGAAAGGAAGATAATACTGCTAACCAACTCAAACAACTTTTTACTGATTGACATCTCAGTGTCTTGTTGGTGGTGCTTTACGAATGTCACTTTTAGCCGACGATCAACCCCTCTTTGTAACTATTCTCAATCAGCCATGTTTGTTTTAAAAGCTTCTGTGAGCAGATTTTAAAATGATTATGAAATAGACTTACACTCAGGGAAAAGATAAATCATTTCTCTGAAGTATTTTTAATGCCTTGATCTGAAGTGAAGGGGTCTGTCAAAGTGATTAACTACACGCTGCCAAAACAGCCTGAACATACATAATGACCATGCACAGAATAAACTGGTATTAATAGGCTAGCAGGGCTAAGCTTCTCCTTTTTATACAATAAATGTATTTTTCAAATAATTTTCCACAGATTGCCAGACACAGTAACTTCAAGCAATTGTTTTTACATCAGACAGCTATCACCATGCAGGAGGTTGTCATCTACATAATCTCAGAGTCTATCTTCTCTCGGTCCTGAGGCCCTGAAGGTCAAACCACAACAGCATCAAACATTTATTGTAAGCTGCATATTCTGTGACATGTCTTTTGATTTTGGTATTGTTTTGTGAGATGTCATCTTTGGCAAAATGTTGTTCTTATTTGTAATGTGAACTCAGTTTTTTAGGAAAGGTCACTGTGTTATGTGAAATGTGGTTATTCGTTTGTTTTGGTTTGTAAGTTTTATTGGGGGTTTGTGAAACGTCATCATGTTTAATTCCTTTGTGTTTGGTTAAATGTTTTTTGCAATGCCGTGTTTCTTGCTTTTTTCCCCTCCCTTAATGATTTCTGTACAGGCTGGACCAGTCAGAGCAGGAACTGGATGACTCATGCTGCAACCACTCTCACTTACAGCATAAAGACAGTCATGGTTTAATGAAATTTTTGAATGTTGATTGTAGTCGTTTTTACAGATTGTTTTAATTATCTGTAGTAAATGTGTTGAGAAAGCTAAATGTGTTCAGCATTTGAGACCAAGACAAATTTTCCTATGGGGACAAAAAGTGTATGATATGGTATGGTGTCTTTTGGTATCGTTTGTATCATTGCATCGTACTGTATCGATATGTCATATCGTATAGATGTATCGAATGGATATATCGATGTATTGTATTGATCTTTCGCATTGTGTCGTATCCTATGGTATTTTATTGTATCATATTGAATTGTACTGAATTCACATATTGTATTTAAATGTATTTATCAAGTCTTATTGTATTGTACTGTACCATACAGCCTCTCATCATATTTTATTGCATTGTATTACATAGTATCATATTGTACAGTATTTTACATTATAGTATCACATGGTATGATTTGATAATGTTTTGTATCATAACCAGTCAGATATGGTCTTGTGTCATATATTACATCATGGCTTTAAAAGATTACTGCAGTAACGTATGATGTAGAGTTAAAGGGCTTACACATGATAAGAGGTTGCAT